ATATATATATATATATATATATATATATATATATATATAAATATAATATGTATAAATATACTTTATACCAATTATACCAAATGTACCAATCTAAATGTCTAAAACCATTTTGACTTCTAGTGACTTTATTAATTTTGCGTTTAACCAAATGACTCTAGTGACATAGTGACTAATAGAAGTGACTTTAGTACAATATTAAGTTAACAGTGGAAAAAGTGATACAATAGAAATCAACAGTAATCACAACCATAACAACCGATCATTTATATCAAAATCAAAACTAATGACGTATTTAAATTTACAGCTTAATTAGAAAGAGCCATCGGGAAAAATTTTCATCTCAAACAACATAGAAAAACAGATAAGGTTCACTTCAATAATCCTTTCTGAAGCAAAAATGACTTTCAACCAAGTTGGGATTCAATTCCACACGTTCGTTCTCCCGAACCAATTCTCATTGATACTAAAGGGCCTGCTTCAGGTAGAACGAAACACTATAACCGAAGAATTAAAAGTCTATAACCTCAACTCTGTAAACTGTATAGCACTTAGGCCCAACAGAAACAGTTCAATCTATCGAATTAATTTTCCTGCAAATACAACTTTTGCCCAGGTGAGAAAAATCAGTTTTCTACTTTACTTCAAAGTTTATTGAGAAAAATATTATAAGAATAAAAATTACATCCAATATTTCTACTGCCAGGCATAAGGATATACTTCTGAGAACTATTTTAAGTTACCAAAATGTGTCAAGTCTGGAGAAGAGCATATGACTAAAAATTGTGTGAAAGCTCCAGATACTCCTTAATGTGCAAACTGTGAATAGTTAACTTCTCAAACTGTTCCAAACTACAAACTTAACTGAATCGGAGGAATGTCAGAAACTTAAAGGATCAGTGATGACAATATTGTAACGATGATTAATATTATCAATAATCCTGCAGCATTAAATAGGCCAAATTTTATGATTCTATAATTTTAGATGGAAAACTATACAATGATGCACTCCAAGGGACAATCAGGAATGAAACAAATTCTCATAATTCAACATCAGTTCTTCCGAAACAATCCTCATTATATTTCTACGAGCTGAAGTTTTTGGTCTTGGTCAAGAAAATACCATTAGAGAAACTAATGATTTCTTTAGAGAAATTGTAAACTTTGCTAAAAAAGCAGTTTCTCTAGCAAAGATATTCCACTCTAACTAGCCAACATCTTGTGCCAACATCTTTGACAAAATCGAAGTAATAATGAAGACTGCATGGTTTTTTCATAGATATCATCTTCAATCCCAAATTATTCAGAGACCCATCATGACTTAGAATGCATGCTCAATGTGCAACAAACTCCTAGAATTTGAGATGTTCTTGTGAAGCAATAAAGGCACTAATCAAATTATTATACTTCTACATGGAAAAAATATTTCTTTTCGTTTAAAATCGACAATAAAAGATTTCAAGTTAATCAAAGCTAGAGTATCACAAGGATCTATACTCAGTCCGCTTCTATTTTTAATCTTTATTAAAAATAATATTATGTGAGATGTGGTACAATAATCAGGCTATGAGCGACAAATGCAATATTCTTAGCATTTTACGTCAATATCTTGGGAAAGATTATACAATTAAATATAAATATAAAACAAATGCGTTTGGAACAGTATGCAAAAATAAAAGAAATATCCTCGATCGAAATCGAGAAAAAGAAAATTTGAATACTGATATACAGATAATTTATTGGTATTGAGATGGCGAGATGTGTGGATGTTATTGAATCACGAATCTAAAATGATAGAAGCTGGTCAAAGAAATTATCTTACAAGATCGCCAAACTTAAAACCAGAAAGTGTTGTAGATTAACATCAAGATGATTTCTGTGGATCATGTTGATATGGTTTTTAGCACACTGAATTTATCCAGAAAATGTCTAAAATGGTATAAAAAGTTTTTTTCCTATTTATTTAACATTATATAATACTTCTATTTATTATATCAAAGTATTATTGATTGGGTAAAAATTAAAATATCTCTCTATGGACCCGTGTAACTTTCAGATCGCATGCTAATATATCAATATTTTACCAAATAATTTTAGTTTTTTCACAAAACATATACATAACGTATACATCTTAATTATATAATGTCTCTGAGCTAACCAATAACAATATTGATGACGGTTGTCAGCATCATCAACTTGAAATATCAAATGCCTGCAGATAGAAACCAACATAATTATTTTGTGCAATTGATATTATTTGTGCTTCCGTCGGTATTTACTAAACAAAAAAAAAAAAATAGTACATAATAGTTCTAGGTTTGTACATCAATAATAACTTATTTGTTTGCATTTCGATAATCATTTTTACTATTTGTATATGATACAGTTTTGTGACTTTCAAGATAGAATGGATGTTATCTCCAACCCGTTCGTGGAGTTATGGAATATAATAATAAATAATTATTACGAAGTTTGCTATTGATAAGTTCAATTCATTAAACGATCAAAGATAATCCAATGATGCTATACACTATCACAGGATTCAAAGTTACAAATTCGGATTAACAAGACGATCAGAGAGATAGTCCATATGCCAATGATGGTCCATACTATCATTAGATCTTAAGTTCAAAGAGTTCTGCGAATTCTTGTACTTGTAGTTCCTGAAGTATCTTCTGAAATAGTTCTGCTGATGGTTTCTGAAATGTTGTATGTTCTTATATGGTTCTCAAATAGTCAACTGTGCTCCTGTGATTTTTGTATTTCTTAAAATAGTTCTTAAAGTAGTTCTGCTGATGGTTTCTGAAATAGTTCTGATCTTCTTGAAGTTCTCGCCGGTTTTTAAAGATTCTTCCCAAGTGTCCTCTGAAGCCTCCTCCATGTTCAACTCGTGAGCGTGTGGGTCTTCAATGGAGCACACAAGTACGCTATGGACCAATCTCCTGGTTGAGCGGCACTTGATCCAAAGCTTCCTAGAATGAATCTGACGGATTACGCTGCTCATAAGTTCTTTGTTTTCTCAGGAAACTATTCCGCAGTAATTCCTTTCAAATAGATTGATGCTGATTTGGACTGGCATAGCTAGAAAGATTATATTGATAGTCTAGAATTATTTTTAAATGTGCAAAGCAAATAGTTATAGAAATTTTCACTTAAAAACATCTTTGTAGCATCATCCTAAGCCATTTGTATGTCTGGACACCATCTGTTTAGTATTTGAACATGTGGGTAAATTTCGGTATATTTAGAATAATATTTGTATTCTCTTCTATTTTCAGATTTATATAACATATACTCAAAATATGGATACAAAATCACATAAATAATAATAAAATAAAAGAGGACGCATTAGCGGTAATAGATCCGAAAATTTTTTATTAGATTCTGAGTCCGATGAAGATTATCCAAATTGTACTTACCGATGATACATAAATATTACTGAGAGTGGCGATGAATTATTTAATCATCATCAGATGAGGAAAATTCAGGATCACAAAATATTATTTCGCAATCATTATCCCAGACGAATACAACAGTTGTCATTGCCTTTCGAAAGGAGATTGCTTTGAAGGCCCCCAAAGGACTTACCTGTTAGCTATTTCCAAAAATTATTTGATAATGAAATTATAAATAATATAATTGACTATATCAATACATATGCACTACAGTGTGATCCAGCAAAACCCATAGATATTTCAGTGAATGAACTTGAACAATTATTTAGTTGCTGTTTTTTTATTAGGTTGGAAAGAAAGTTCTTACGATTTTTGATTTTAAATGCTCTATTTTCTATTTTATTTAAGTTAAATTGCATTGACTTCGAATATAATTTTAAAATGCATTTTTCGCTCTATGAAATTATGATTTAAAAATATTAATTTTATTTTCAAATTAGTTTTCCTTAGGATGTTGAAAACAATATGAACAAGAAACAGATTCGAACAATTTTCCTATTCCAGTTTAAACTAGATCGGAAAGTTGCGGGTTTGCGATATCGAGGCGTTTAGACCTGAAACTATTAACGAACGTACTGCACAAAGGTGGTTTAAAAAATTTTGAAGCGAGAGCATTAAAATTAATGATGAGCGCAATTGTCGGCCATCAGATGTTGACAAATTGTTTTTCAAACGTTTCTTTAGTAACTGAATTAGAAAAATTTGGGAATTTAGAGCGTTGTAACTGTACAGTCAAACAGACTAAAAAACTATGAATTTTCGTCAAATAAAGTAATGAAAATTAAGGCCAGAGGAAGTTACGAAGCACTCTTTACATGCATTGACAAGGTCACTATAAATGCGATTAAGTGGTACAACAAGACTGTTCATTTAATGAGTACATTTTGCAAAGCAGAGTCAATAGACGTAGTGAGGAGATGGAACAGAAAAATTGAAATATAGTAAAAATATAGTAAAAATATACAATACAAAATTATATATAAATTATATAAGAGAGATTGTTCATCGTATTCTAGCCCCTAATATCAATATACTTTATTGATTAAAGTTTATAATTTAAAACTGACATTGCATTTTGTCAGGAGTACAAAGGAATAAGTAGAAAAAGTGGAATAAGTACAAAGGAAAAAGTGGCATTCTGTTTCAATTTTCGTAGATAAGCAATTAGAAGAAAAAACAAAAAGAATATCAAATGCAATATTTTCAATACAAAACGTGCGAAAAGATGAAGTAACACATTGGCCAATTTTTTCGGACAACAGAAGATGCTGAAAAAAATGGGGATGTAAAGGAATTCCAAAAATAAAATGCAACGTATATTTATGTTTAACGCCAAGTGCAAACTATTTTATGGAATTTCACGCTTAAGCTTTTGCACAAAAATGCAAACATTATAAGCCGTTGTTACTTCAAAATTACTTCAAAGTGAATTAATTATAATAAAATTGTTAAACAAGTAAATTTTTTTAAATTTGCATATGTAGATTTGTAATTGTTGATTTTCCGTTGCATAAATTTTTTTATATTTAAGAAAAAATTCGGCTCATAGAGAAATAATTTATATTTTTATAAAAAATAATCATATATATCTAGTAATATTAGTATTATCTATTTGATAAATAAATTCATGATACCATTGTATCATGTGTATTGTACCACACCATATATGTACCATAATTAATTTATTAGAATTGAATATATAACAAATTATGTTAAAATAATATTGTTAACATAGGTATGCTAAATTACTAATTTGTAACAATATGATATATTGTAAATATATATAATACTATAAATCGAATGCTATCATAAGAGCTAATATATATTTACTAAAATTTAATTTGGTAAATAAATTCACAATACATATATTTGTTAATTAATTTATTAGAATTGAATATAAAACAAATTGAAATAATATTATTAATATTATTCAATGCAGGTGTGTTATTACAAGTTGAAATAATATTATTAATAGTTGTAAATTATTAATTTAGATTATAATTGTATATATATATAATACTATAAATCGAATGCTATTATAAAAGCTAAGATACATTCTTACTTTATTTAATTTAAGCGTCAATTTCTGCCATCACGTATATTTATTTTCTAATACAATTTCTCTTTTGAATTTATTTTTTGTAAATTTTTGTAATATTCATATAAATTAATAATGTAAAAATACAATGTAAAATATAAAGAAATTTAATGCATAATTGGAAAACATTGGAATGAATAAATAATGAATAATCTTAATGATTATAACCTACATAAAAGTTTAAAATTTGATATTTAAAAAAATAAAAGAAAAATATATTAATCATTTGAAATAAATAAATATTTTAAATGTTTATTCAAGTGTTTTAGTTTTCTTATTTATTATTTCTTTAATTTGAAAATGCAAAAGTATAAATAATTTAATTATTCTTCAATATTTTTACAAATTTATATCATAAAATTAATAACTGTTTATAGAACAGAATTTTAGAACATAAATAAATTTCATATATAATTCCAATCCATATTAATTTTCATAGTTTTGTTATTTTTTATTATTTACGATAATAAAAAATTATAATGATGCAAAAATATTTAAATTCATAATAATTTTTATGATTTTTATGATAAATATATTAATAAACATTCATAATAATTATTTA